TGCGGTTAGTTCATTTGATTGTCTAACTATCACCACCTCCACGACTCCGCCATCGACTGCCGCTAACCTCCTTACACTCGATTACCCTGCATCCTCGCGTCTGGCAAAGTCATAAACTGGGCGGTAATCGGCGACTGAGATGATTGTAGTGTTTTTGTCTCATATATACAACCACTTTATACACAAATAAATTGCGTAAGTTACCCTCAATGACCAGGTGGAGCTTATTTTGATGATCCTCTGTGATTCACATCAAAATGTGAATCCACACATGAAATTATATATTTTACGTAGCACGCTTTCATTTTCAGATTGGATTTCTGTCCTAATGCCCTGGATTTGAACACAAATCGTAGAACAGTTCAGCGTTCGAGGTAACCGCCTGTACAATCGTTTTTTCCTCACATTTCAAGTTACACCGTTTTTTGGTTCATTTGCAATACAAAGGATAGGCTGTTGGAGAGAGAGTGTGAACAGTGACTCGAGCGCTGCCGAGAACCAGATATATTTTATAAGCTCTGCGTCAATTACGGTAAAATAATAGGCATATATTTATCAAGATTCTATAGTTGCCAAAACAGCTACAATAAATCTTACTGTTTAACCGTTCGAATCAAGAGCACCGGTGGAATGTTGCTGAACTAACTGATGGAGATAAATTTACCGTCTAAACTTTTTCCTGACTAATCAGGTGGGGGAAATCGTTACAGAGATTTATTTTTAACACTTGATGTAGGGAAAGTAAAAGCGTACCAGGGCGCACTGCAATAAAATATTCGAATTGTATCACATCCGAAAACCGATTTCATGGCTTTGGATAAACATGGTAGAACAGAGCCTTTTTCTACCGTTTCCTGCTTCCATTTGATAAGATGAATAAGTTTCCTTCTTAATTATCATGGGAACAAAGGTATGACTCTTCCTCTCGTTATTATGTAAATATTGAGTTGTACACAAACGTGTTTAGGAAGGATATTTCGGTCAGGCAAATGCTGCCACATCATACAAAGAACATGTGAACACTGGGTTATTGTGAAAATGCGTCTACCACTCGATCTCCCGGACAGTTTTACCGCTTGGCTACCACCTACTGATTAGAAACTGTGAATTGTCAGAGCCTAAGATAATGGAGTGCCTAAACTCTTTTGACCTTTGATAGAGAACTACTTAATGAGCAGCGTTCCCTAGATTAGGATAATAATAATTTTGAATTTGAATAAAACAGGCAACACAATATGAGCTGAATTGATATTGGCCATCAATTTCGCGTGCTCTCAATCAGCTATCTACGCACATTAAATAGGTCAAATTTTTATCATAAGAACACCATATATGGACATTTACACAATTACATGGGGTCAAGCAGAAGGCACTGAGTGGTTGAGTCATTACCGAAACAATTTTTTTTACTCGGTTATCTTTCTGCGTCTATTCGAATTCATTTTTGGTTGTATGTTTTTCGTATTACGTAACCATGGCTAACTCTCTTTCCACCACGGCTAATCGTTTTCCATTACGTAACTGTTTCAATGTTAGCATTCCCCTCCGCTTCTTTCACCCATACCCGCATGACTTCGGTAATGACTCAACCACTCAGTGCCTTCTGCCTGACCCCGTGTAATTGTGTAAACGTCCATATGTGGTGTTCTTATGATAAAAATTTGACCTATTTAATGTGCGTAGATAGCTGATTGAGAGCACGCGAAATTGATGGCCAATATCAATTCAGCTCATATTGTGTTGCTTGTTTTATTCAGATGGATCAAAGGGAAAGGATGTTTCCGAAATTTTGAGTTTGGTTAATTCATTAGGGTTGGATTACAGGAAGCATCGCTGTGTTTGATGTCTTCCGGAAGCAAACGAGTGCACACTGTGCTATGCATCCCAGGTTTTGGTCAATGAAAGGACAAGTCGAAACATGTATTGGTTATTACATTTTGAAACCGTTGTGTTCCTTCCACAAGGCACTATCTTTTGTAATTTGTTTACTTATCAATCAGTTACTCTTGCTTCAACTACAAACTCCTTCAAAACTTGTGAACCATTTTGCATACTTCTGTGGATTTCAATCTGTCATTGCTCAGAATCCCCTATTTTCAAGGATAAACACGTTATGAATTTTCGCGTCTACGCAATCTCCTAAGACAAACATCAAAACTAATTAACTGACGCACGGATGTAGTGGTACTGTAAAAGATCAATGCAATAGAGAAAAAATTAATTGTTGCACACATGAAATATTTTTTGTGGGGATAAAATTAATTTCGACATCCATGTTTTGTTGGACCAATCAGGAACGATCCACGACACCACCGGATATTATTATTGGCTCAGATCCTGTATGACCTTGAGCAACAAGTAAAAATTTCCAGTTGCTCACTAACACTTGGAACCAATACGTTTGTCGAAATGTCATACGATTTTCCTGCATAACGATCTATGAAACCCAGCTTCTTTCGCCTATCGGTTCACTTCGGCACACAGAGACTGCAAAGGATCCCGTCCGTTTTTTTTTCGCGCTATCATGAATTTGACTGAGGAAGTAACAAAATGTCCGGAGGAGTGCAATGGACGTTGTGATAACGGAGCGCTAGAGATGAATGACGAGGATGACGAAGAAGATGATGACTATGTTAAAGTGCTGGAAACTTTTGCACAACGCGCTCGGCTAACTGGCGAGGAATTGATACCAGACGATGCCTGTTGTGCCAAGTTTAGACGCTGGTTGATCAAAGCGCTACGTTCTTTAGGATTCAATATCCTTATCATCGTTTTGGCTTCGGTGGATGCAGCTATTCTGATGACTGTGCTACTGTTGGAAATCGAATCGTTGAAACTGGGCGTAAGTTTGTGATAAACATGCTATTGTTACTGTGATATACTGCCTACCATATAAAATGTAGTGTACCATACTTACTGACAAGTGTGATGAAAGGTCAAATAGGTGAGAAAACCCGTTAAGATAATCATCATCTGTGAATAAGCGTAGTTTGCAACCTGATCGGTTCGAAATATGAGCAGTGACAGGTTTACTGAGAACCAAGACTGGTTTGCTGTTTGGAAATAAGCCATTGCGTTGTTTAAACTTGGAATTGATGTGCTGGCTAATGACAAAAGACCACTCGCTCCAAAATGAGAACCCAATTCAATTGTTTTTGGTTCAAATTGACGTGGCTTGGTTAGAAACTGTCCGCAAATATATATTTTTTGCTGCATAGGATGATGCCGTTTTGCAATAGAGCTGTTTGTCGCGGAAGTCAAGGATATCTCTTTACGAGGACCAATAATGCACCCATTTATCCTTTCATCAAGTACTCAGTCGCATTCTGTTATCATGTCAACATTTTAAGTTGGATGAATAAAGAAACATGCCCCATCCTTAATTCAAGTTTCTACAGTTTTGAGCGAACGTCTATTTAAAAGGTTATCATTTCTTAAATAACAGAAGATGCACGGCACAAGTCAAGTCAAGTCAAGAAGCAGCTTTAATTCTCCCTATAGGGGATGAACATTCAGCTAATACACAGTCACTCTTCTTTGGAAATTACATGATAACAAAGCGTATGGTGATACGTTAAATATACAGAAAGCCAATTTAGCAAAGATTTTGTCTAAGAGTTCCAATGACAAGATCAGCCTTGGTAAGAAACCGTGCCAGGTACGGTATTATAGAAGGCTTGTATGTATTGGTGCGTGCTACTATATGTTTATACATGGAACGAGTGCTAGATGTGGAGATACATTGACTAAGATGAGGGTACTGTGGGTGAGATGGGTCAAGTAGTATTCTGGTGGAGAGTCTCTGACAAGCCCTAAGTTGCTCTGAAATAATAAACTGCACAACATACTCAAGGGATATGCCGCTGTATCGACATACGTGTTTTCAATGTCCAATGTTCAATGTTCTTCAATTAGAGGCAGAGGGTAATTTCCCGTTTGAGCCTCATCACC